TCAGAGGGTGAGAGGACCAGCTGCTGTTTGGGGACCCAGGCTGGATCCCCAGCACTCAGTCAGCAGCTCACAGCCTGGGGAAATGAGGTTCCAGGGGATTCCATGCAGGCTCCTGGCCTCCATGGGCACTGCACACACATGGGCCAGAGAAACACACATGGATAAAGTGTTCATACACATGAGTTAAAAATTATTTCCCCCTATGTATTAGAGAGGTTTTTACATATGAAAAGTCCAGATCTTTGGTAAAATATTTTTGAATTTGCTGTCACTTTTTTTTAAAAGGGATTTTTGTTTTGCACATTTCTTTTGCAGGTGAACCCTATGTTTGTGAAGATGTGTGTATGAGTGTGTGTGTGTGTGTGTGTGTGTATAAACACACAGTGGGTGCTGTACATGCAGGATGGTGATTGATCTTGGCTGTAGATCCACAGGTTCCATCCATCATACTTGAGGACACAGTTCTTTCTTTCAAAGGCCTCAGCTCTCTGAGTTGGAGTATGGTCAGTGAGTCCCAGAAATCTCACCTCTCCCCACTTCTGTATCTGAAATAGCTTTGAATTCATTCTGGATCCCAGTTTCTAAAAGTTAAATATAGTGATCTAATGGGGAGTAAGTGTGGGGAGAAACCAGGAAATAAAAGAAGGTCCAGGAGATGGGAGAGGGGGTATAAGGCAGAGATGAAGAAGGAGAGTAGAATATGAAAAGGGAACGGGGAGTTACTGGGAGAGGAGGGTACAGTAGGGCAGGGGTGGGAGAGGCTGTGAGATTTATCTGTAGTGCAATCTGTGTGTTTTTATGTGAGTGTTGCCTCCATGCTGTGTTTACTCTATGGTAGGAACTCTAAGTTAAAACACGGAGCACAAAAATGTAAGGGGCAGTTATGGTGGACTCTATTGTCGGTCTGACTGTCTTAGCAGATAGGAAGAATGGTTGAGATGCTCTGTGTCTGTGGGAGTGTTTCCAGAGTGGACAGTGAATGACAGCAAGACCCTCCATCAGTAGGGGTGACTCAGCCCAGGTCACCATAAAGAGAAAGTGTCTCTATTACTGCTACAACCACATGTATTCTCAGTGACAAAGGCATGGATCTATACCTGCAGTTGCCAACTTTAACTGTCAGATTGCCACTGCAGAGGCACCCAGCCTGTTGGACTGAGCAGTACTGAGTTCTCTGCTTCTCATTGTACCCAAGACAATCTGTCAGCCCAAGGTGTCTGTTCTAGGAAATGGACCAGGGTGGAGTTCATGGCAGTGTCTAATTAGAGAAGCACCTTGACTGGGCAGGAGTCAGTCTGGTCCATCTGGAGCAGGGAAAATACACTCCATTTCAGTGCTCCCCCTGGCATGGTCCTGGGCCCTGGGAGAGAACAGCCTGTGGTCCTGGGCTATCAGAAGGCCATCAGGCCTCAGGCAGACATCATGAGGTGAGCTCTTTCCCACTAGGCTGTTATGTGAACAGATCACAGTCAGACAAGATGTCCAGAAGTGAGACAAATCCAGAAGGGACATGGTGGTCATACATGTTGAGAAATGCTGTTAATGTGTATTGCCACGAGGTTGTGGCCTACTGACAAAGTTTCACCAGGCTCCAGTGCAGGCCTCTGTCCTCAGCGAAGGCTACATGGCTTTTCCCCGACTCTGCCTACTCTCTCCTCGTCCATCTGCTTGGAACTCCTGCCTTGCCCTATTCTTATAGGCCACTGGCAAAACCAGATTTATTCATTAACCAATAAAGGCAACACATAGACAGATTTCCCACACCAGAGGAGTGTTGGTATTAGCTCTTTTTTGAAATTCTGATAGAATTCTGTGCTGAAACTATCTGGCCCTGTTTTGTTGTTGTTTCTTTGTTTGGTTTTGGTTGGGAGGTTTTTAATGACTGTTTCAAATTTCTTAGGGGTTTTAGGTCTATTTAAAATTTTTGTCTGGTCTCTATTTAATTTTGGTATGTGGTATCTATCAAGAACATTGTCTGTTTTTTTTAATTTTTTTTGTCTGTCTGTTTCTTTCACCAGCTGTTTTAGTGGTAGGAGGAACAGTGAATTTTGAAGGCATTTTAAAGAAAGCATCCCTGACTTCCAAACATTTGCCAATTAATAATAGCAATAATGATAACAATAATAGGTTATGAGGGATGAGTTATAAGGAAGTATTTATAAATAGACCCCCACGCTGTAGTAAGGAAAACATTTCTATAACCTCTCACAACTGTGCTACAGCAGTATTGATTAGACAAGGTCTCTAAGAGACCTGGGACTCCACAAGTAGTCTAGACAGGCTAACCACTGACCCCAGGAATGGCTTTCAGGGACCTGGTCAGAGGCTGGTCCATACTGCATGAAATAGAAAATCAAGAATTTCTAAAACTGGTAATAAAGGGCGTGAGTAAAGACTAAGAAGAGTACACGTGCCAAAGGGGATGTGATATGAAATATGTCCACTCTGTTCCATAGGAGAGCATGGAGGACTCTTGCATGTCAAACATGGAAAGATTGCCCGGGGAGAAGGACATGGGCCTCTGCAGACGCCCAGTGATGAAAACTGTACAAGGCCAGGGCAGGGAAGGCAGATGGTGTTCCTGAGATGAGACGTCAGGAACATGGGCAGAAATGTCCTGATATAGTAGACCAAAGTGGAGTGGTCAGGGGACAGCATCATGGAGGGACCAGGGTTCAGACGATTTGTGATGTGTGTGTAACCCAGGCTCTGATCTCAGGCTGGGGTGTGTGCCCCAAAGTGACAGAACATACAGATTCTACAGGCAAACAGATGGTCAGCAAGTTACATGTTGCCAGAAATTGATAATTAACCATATGAGAACTAACATGCAGGACAAAGCTAGTGCCCAGTGTCCACCACAGAACCACTTCTCAGAGATCTCAGAGTCCTTTCTGGGAGGAGAGAAAGGATTCAGATAAGGAGGACTCCTCACCCACAGCAGGTGCAGCTCTTCTCCCAGGGTCACTGCTCCATTTAGACAGACATATGGCCCTTAGATTCTACTGTGAATGGCTAACGGGTTTGTAGGCTCAGGTCTGCTCTAATAAGTTAAAGCCCCCATGGACAATATATGAATGGTGAGTGTGGCACAATAGATGTCCTCTGTGTCGTGACGGAGGACGATCTGTGACACTGAGGCATGTATGGTAGATGCTATGTGGAGTTCTTGGTGGTAACTAATTGAAGAATCACAAGAGACCCCAGAGGTTGAAAGCAAGCCTGCACAGTGACAGCAGAGACAGTCTTAGAATTTCAAAGTGGCCACTGGCACAGTCTTGGACCCTGGGAGAGAGGGGCCCTCTGGTCCTGTGATACCAGTGACAATGCAGCCTCAGGGGTCCAATAGGAGCTGGGTCCCCCACCTACTATGATGTGAGGTAGACTGGACAGAATTGAGAGACGATCCCAGAAGTAAATGGTAACAGTGACCTAGTGAGTCACCTATAGGATCATGGCTATTACACACACACACACACACACACACACACACACACAGAGAGAGAGAGAGAGAGAGAGAGAGAGAGAGAGAGAGAGGAATACTAATAACAAATAAATAAAATTTAAAAGAAAAGTTAACTTTCATTTCCTTTTGCTTCTGCCCAACAGCGATTAGCAAACTATTTTTTTTTTAAGATTTATCTCATATGTATAAAGTGCTCTGCTTGAATGTATGCTCACCCACCCGAAGAGGGCACCAGATCTTATTACCATGTGGTTTCTGGGAATTGAACTCAAGACCCCTACAAGAGCAGCCAGAACTCTTAACCTCTGAGCCATCTCTCCAGCCCAATTAGCAAACTCTTTAGTACTCAAGACAGAGGAGAAAGGAAAGCCTGTGGGGAAAGGAGAAAGATTAAAGAGTAGAAATAGAATAAATAACAGAAAGCACATTGAGATATTCTAACCCAACTGTGGTTTCCCCCACCAAATGGTCCGGATCCTAAAGGTAGGTCCTGGATTATTTGCTGGGGTTAAGCCAGCATCCTCCAGATGAGCAAAGAGATCTTATTAGACAAAAACTATACAAAACAATATATACCCATAGAAATGTTTTCAAAAACTTATAAGACTGTGCTATATCCCTAAGACCCCTAAGACATGGTTTCTGGCAGAAGTAAGTAATGCCTTCTCTGATTTCATCCATAGCAGACACTTAAATGTTCATTACATGTTAATTAATTAACTGCCCTTCCCCCCACTGCCATAAATTTTAGCTACAAAACTGTAGCTCAGACTCCACAGACATTTAAAGTTCCCAGCTCTTCCCTACCATTTTATATTTATAAAGGCCACCATTCATAACTGCTTTGTTCTGATTTTCTCACTTTTTCAATTCAAAAAAAAAAAAAAGAAATTGCTGTCAGTAGAAAAGGGGGTGCTAATTAAGAATCCAACAACAGCCAGGCCCTGGTAGCACAGACCTTTAATCACAGCACTCAGGCCCAGGCAGGAGGATCTCTGTGAGTGAGAGGCCAGCCTTGTCTACAGGGAAAGTTCCAGAACTACACAAAGACACCCTGCCTCAAAACATATCCTCCCACCCACTCCCATAAAAAAGAAAAGAATCCAGTAATAAAGTGACAGTCACAAAAGCATGAAGTTCAGATCCTGAGCACTCCCACAAAGAGCACCCTCATCTGTAACTTGAGCACTTAAGGGAGGGTGGCAACCTAAGGAGCCCTGTAGCTCACTGGTCAGCCAATCTAGCCAATCAGTGAGCCAGATTCAGAGAGAGCTATCAGGTTGGGTGGGGAAAGAAGATGAAGAAGAAAGTGGAGAGCAATACAGGAAAGGAAGAAACAACTCCAGCTGATCTCTGGCCTCCCCATGCACCCATCCAAACCATGCACACACACACACACACACACACACACACACACACACAGACACACACACGTGTTTATTTCTTGTCTCAATTTCCCTTAACTTAGAATAATTTTTTAAAATTTATTTTTGGTTTCTGGTGACTTTGGGTGATCTCAAATGCATGTTTCCAGCGTTGGCCCCGAGGTGGCAAAAGAGAGGGCCAAGAGATACAGAAATCGTGGCGGGGGAAGGAGGCTTGCAAAAGGCGCCCAAAGGAAGTTCCATAAGGAAAGAGACCCCGCCAAAAGAAAAAAGAAAAAAAGAAAAGAAAAATCAGCAAGGAGAAAGAAGGAAATGGAAGTTGGTCAGTGACTGCAGGACAGAGAAGGGAAACAGAAGCGAAGTTTACCTTCGTGTCCCCCGTGGAAGTGTGGGGCAAGAGCCCTAATGCCACCACGCAGTGCGGCTCGACCCAGGCTGTCACTCGGACTGGACAGATTCCTCTGCCTTGGGCGAGCCTAGGGCAGAGCAAGCCTCTGGGAGGGTCAACTATCTCTCGGGGCCGCGCGGTGGGCCGCGAACTCAGGGTTTGAATTCCAGACCCCCCCTCCTTTTGGCCTCCCCACCCCCCATCCTCGGGAGGCGATTAAAGTTTTCCCTCGCCAGCCAGCGAGCCCCTTGGCTCTCTCAAGTTTGCCTCCTCCGGTTGCGGTAGGCTGGGAGCGGGGCGGATCCCAGGGCTCCTGAGCTTCACAATCCCCACCCCTGCCTGCCTTTTCTACCCCTGCCTCCACTGCACCCACCGCCACCATCACCACTGCACCCACCATTGCCGCCACCGCCACTGCACCCACCGCCGCCACCACTGCACCCACCATCGCCGCCACCGCCACTGCACCCACCGCCACCGCCACTGCACCCACCGCCACCGCCGCTGCACTCACCGCCGCCACCACTGCACCCACCATCGCCACCACCACCGCACCCACCACCGCCCTGTCTGGCCCAGGAATCGAGCCGGCACCAGACAGCAGCCTCTGAGTGCTGAAGGGCGCCTGCAAGGGGTGCGAGAAGAACGCGACTCGCGACTCTAAGGCCATCGCGGGCGACCGACCGCAAACAAGTTGCAGGCACCAGTAGCACCCGCCACCGCCGCCGCCGCCGCCGCCGCCGCCGCTCGCCTCTCCCACACACTCGGGCCCGCACGGCCAGCGCTGCACCGAGGAGAACGCGGCCCGGAGGGCGCGGGTGCCCCGCCCAGCCCGCGCCCTCCTCCCCGCGGGGACGTCAATGCCAGGCCTGCGCCGCTGGCCGCGCCCCCTTAAAAAGCACTTTCCTGCCTCGGGGAGAGCTCACGCGAACTCTTGCCGGCCCCGCCGCGGCTCCGCTGTGCACGCCAGTGAGGCCGGCGAGAGGAGCCTCTGCCACATTCAGCCGGTCCCTTCTCCTAATGTAGCCGGGAAGCAAAGCTCCTTTTCCCACTGCCTCGGTCTCTCGCACTTGAACTTGCCGCACTCGCTCCTTTGCTCTCCAGGTGTGCGCCTGGCGCTAAGGCCACGCGGGTGGAGAGGGCTGCAGGGGCGGCGCTCCTGGGCTCCAGTCCTCCCGCCGCCTAACCCAATCGTTAAGGCGACGTCCCCGCGGTCTCCTCCCGAAGCCTGCGCTCCCTGGGGAGGCGCGGCTCCGTGGCGTTCCCCCCACCGCCGCCACTCCACGCCCAGTGTCAAAAAAAAGCAACCAAAGTGACAAGCTAAGGCTGCAGTGGTGGGGCAGAAGCATCCCGCCGCCCGCTCTCGGTAAAGGCCCAACGAGGCCAACTTGGCCGGCTCCCTTCCGGAGGGCCCTCCACACCCTTAGCTCTATGCACCTAAAAGGAGAAAAAAAATTACATCTCTCTTCTCCCCCCATTTTTTCCCCTTTTCTCTCTTTTCTTCCTCTTTCACACTTTTTACCCACAGATTTCCCCACCAGCTGCTTCCAAGTCACTTGCCCACTACCCCGCCCCCAAATTAGTTTTCTCCTCTTATGGAAAGGCACAAAGAAATTGGGGAGAAACTCCTTCCCCTCCCCTGACGTCTTTCCAAGACGAGGGTGTGAGCTCTCCTCTCGGAACTTTCTTCCTCACACAGATTAAAAAAAAAAAAAATCAATGATTGACTTTGGCACCAGCTGAGAAGGTTATAGATTTCTTTGTCTGCTTCTGCACCTTCCTTTTTTCTTTCCATAAGGCAATTCTCAGAGCAGCTAATCCACAAGGTGCTGGTTAAATGTGTGCATTCAGCTATTAAATAGCAGGCCCTGCTCTCACACCAATTGCTACCCGGGGGCTGAATACAAGCCACAGGTCAAGAAAAGTAAGAAATGAAGTTCTATGCTTGTATGGAGTTTAATTTGCCCCTTTCGAGACTGGAAGAATACATAATAAAGTCTGAAATGGCGCATTTGTTCTGCATCCAAAATAGGATTTCTATTGACAGATTCAGCGGGGTAGGCCTCTGTTCTAAGGAATGCTGGGAGTTCTACCTCAACTTAGAAATCCCTGGTAAAGTGCCTAGACAGGACTGCCCTCTTAATGTACTCAGGCAAGATGGATGAGCTCTCCTAAATAGCAAACCCTGCCTTTGTCAGCGCTTCAAATCTGGGTCAAGCTAGTATTCTATTTTGATATTGACAGTTTTCTGCTTATGGATGGACTACAAATTGGCTTTGGGAGAGTTTATGATTCCTCTTTCTACAAGGCTCGGGGGGCAGACAAAACAATTTAAAGTCATTAAAGTTGCTAAAATATGTTGATGTCAATGGGAGAGTCTGCTGTGAAAGGAAACGGGAATAAAGCAGCAACCTGTGATTGCAGAGACAAACCTAGAACTTTGTCCAGAGGGGACAAAAGCGGTCATGTGTGTTGAGAGATGCCTAGCAGAGAGAGAAAAGGACAAAAATCTACTTTCCCCAGCTGGCTGTGGAAATCTTATTCTAGACGAAGTGAATGGGGTTCCCTCAGCAAGCATCTCTGACTCAGGAGCGTCCTCATTCCCAGGGACTGCAGAGCACAATGGGCACAAACACCAGGAACTCCCCATATCCTCTCCAGCTGACCCAGGAACTCCCCATATCCTCTCCAGCTGACCCAGGAACTCCCCATATCCTCTCCAGCTGACCCAGGAACTCCCCATATCCTCTCCAGCTGACCCAGGAACTCCCCATATCCTCTCCAGCTGACCAAGGAGGCACAGGCAGCACAGGACCATTCCTGGTTGTTTAGCACACAGCTTTGGCATCACTTGCAGAGAGTGCTCAGGGAAATGGGTACCAATAGTGGGATAAAGGATGCTATCTAATCTGGAGTCAGAAAATGAGTACAGAGGCCAAACCTGGTCTCCAGTTGTCCACGAATCTCTTGAGCTGCTTTCACACTGAAGCTGGGATAGGGTGTTTGATGTAGAGCCAGGTAGGGAGTGGCTTGCCAAATGTAAATATTATGTGCCCCTTAAGTAAAAGCTATGCACTGTCCTCTGAAATGAACACCATTATCTGCTCCTTTCTCCCTAAGAGTTAGTCTAGGGGGGACTGAGAGGCCAGAACAGAGGGTTCCTTATGCCCCACTTAGAACAACTGGCAGATCATATGTGATTTAAACTTTGCCTGGAGCCGGGCGATGGTGGTGCACGCCTTTAATCCCAGCACTCGGGAGGCAGAGGCAGGCGGATCTCTGTGAGTTCGAGACCAGCCTGGTCTACAGAGCTAGTTCCAGGACAGGCTCCAAAGCCACAGAGAAACCCTGTCTCGAAAAACCAAAAAAAAAAAAACTTTGCCTGATAACCCTTGCTTTAGGTTCTATGGGTGAGAGTTGATGGATTTCCTAGTGTGTGTCCTCAGGCAGGGGCATGCAGTACGGGTTGAGGAGGGAATAAATCACCTTTCTGGGTGGGAGGGTGGGGGAAGGGGATATAAGGATGGTGAACTGGGTGCTGGTTCAGTATATGAAGTATTCAGTGAAGCTGTGTGTGGTGACCTCTGCCCTCAGCTCTGAGAAGGCTGATGGAGGGAACTGGTGAAGCTGGCAACCCAGCTTATACAGGGAGGGAAAAAATTAGGAGGAGAAGATAAATAAATAAAGAGAGAACTGGGGTGGTGTGAATCCTGTCCCTAGGAGCAACTTTGGTTTTAGAGATTCAGTAACTTCTTTTGAACCACAATGAACTTCAGTTTCTTTTATTCTAGGCTCACCATCTTGTTGTAGTATTTTCTCGGCTTTTCTGAAAGCCTCTGAGAGAAAGTGTATGGGTTGAGGTAGGGAACAAACCTCAGGGTCTGGACTGTACAGTCATCCGGAAGGAGCCTGAAGTGGATGGGGGTCTGATGTTTGAGGCCAAAGATCATCAGTTCAGCTAGGAGCACCCTTCTTCCTTGATGCTATGGCCCTGTGTCCCTCAAACTCTATTGTTGATTCCTCCAAACTCATGGGTTGGTCTCCAGTACAATGGGAGAAGAGCCAGGGTGCAATTAATGACCGTGTTCACTGTGGCCCAGGCCGTGGGTTCCCTTCTCTAAACCCAGCCTCAGATATGAAGGGCACTGTAGTAGACGCCAGCTTCCTGCTGATGACATTCATGAAAATTTCTGAATCCGGGCTGTGACCTCAGGCAGTTTGAAGTTTGTCTGTCACATCCTTCACTTTTTTCTTAGAGGTTTTGTGGTTACATCAACTTCCAGGAGAGCCTCCAGGATCTCAGGACCTCTTCCTGAGAGGCCATGGCACCCAGGCAGAAGTTGAGCAGCCTGGGCTCTGTGGCTCTGGTGTCACCAGGCCTCTGACTCCATGCGGTCTCTTCTCACACACTGGCTGAGACCCTAGGCAGCGGAAGCAGTGCAGAATGTCAAGGAAGAAATTTGGTGCTTTTAGCCTGTGCTGCAGGCTAGTGCCTGCAGTCAGAGAGGAAGTATCAAGGACTATTTATGGGGTTTCTTCACATCCTCCTAATCCTTGTCCCAAGTCCCAAGCTTGCTCAGTCTCACCTTCCACTCTCTTCACTGCTGCCCCCACTCCCCGCTCTGTCCTGTCCTACCCCTACTGTCTAGGGCACCCACACAGGTTCTTTCCCTCTTTTCAGCCCCAGCTTTAGGGCCTTCTCTGTTCTGCTGGCAGTCCTCAAACTCTCACTCACTGTTCCCCTCCTTTACCCATCTATCTTGACCCTACAACCCCTAAACCCCAATGCCTTATTCTCTCCTCCAAACCATCCTCACCCCTCTTGACCTTGGGTGAGGTG